CGGAACTAGAGGACCTCCTCGCCTTCAGAGACATACACAACAATGACTTCTACACGACACAATTCATAACCGGACACGGAGCCCACCTCCAGTATTTACGCAGATTCGGTCTAACCAATAATGATAGATGTCCTTGCGATAACACCAGCATACAAACCCCCGACCACTTGATAGGAAAGTGCACCCGCTTCCAGGAGCCCAGGAGAAACTTCACGCTCTCCTGCAGGTTCCTGGGTGCCGAAGGGACGCTAGAATTAAAAGACTTTACAAATCACAAGAGGGGCAAGGAGCTCGCGAGAAAATTCACCGACCTAATAGGGAATATTTACTCAAAATTAAAAGCCTTCAACGGAAGCACGCCCAGGGAAAGTGAGACGCCGACTGATGCGGAAGCAACCGTTTCATCACCACCGGCACCATCGGAACGCGGCACAGCCCCGGCCCCAGCCCCACACTCCCCTGTCTCGGACATAGGACGGGGCATGCGTCCCCTGAGGAGAAGATGTCACCCTGAGTTGCTATCGGATGCGGAATCGGACAAGGAAACCAACCCCACAGCTCCCGTCACTCTCTCCATCCCCCCCCCCCTCACCCCCCTTCTCCTCCTCCTACTCCTCTCCCCCTCCCTACCCTGCAGGCTCCCCGGACACCGGTCACTAGTCCTGTCGCCTCCCGTTCATACGATCATATACTAACGCACACACACACAGGCACACACACACATCCAGACCGACGACACGGGTGCACTCAGCGATACAACTCATCCTACGACAACAACAATAATGATAACAACAATAATACACATCACAACGCTCACAGGAACCTCTTCTCCTTCTCCCCTCTCTTCCGCTCTCTACTTCTCTCGCTCGGTCTGCCTATCGTCTCGGCGGCTTCTCTCGAACCCCGCCCGGGATCCATCCCGGCCATTCTCCTCCTCTTCTCCTTCCCCTACTTCTTCCTCTCCTCCCTCTCTCTCTCTCTCGCCTCGCCTCGCGACGTGCAGTAGCCATACGAAAACCGGACACTCCTTCTCCTGCTTCCTGAGACTTAGCAAACAAATAAACAAATGAATAAAGAACAAATACAAACATTAGCAATCACACCGACAAATAAATAATTAAATAAACAAATAAATAAATAAATAAATAAGTAAACGCACATAGACACAAACAGGCAACACCCACACGCGCGGATGGGCGAGCGAGCATATGGGCGGATGAGCGAACGAGCGAATGAACAAACGAACCGACGAACGAAATGCACGACCCCCGTACAGCGGAGTAAAACGATCAGGGAAACCCGGAATCAGATTCAGATTTAATTCAAATTCAAATTCAATTTAAACACAACACACCGGATAACTAGGCCAATTAAAGAAATCAATCAGTCTACCGATCGATCAATCGTTTGACTGATCGAGCTCACTGAGTCTGCTTGCGGCCGACTTGACACCACGGAATCGACCTACAGCGGTCCCCGCCCTGCCATATGGACAGGGCGAGGGTCCGGAAACACAGGACTAGACTTTGCATATTCCCATCCCGACTAGGGAGGGAATAAGACGCGGGCGCGGGTGGGAAGGATGCTGGAGACCTCTGAGGAGGGGATTTACCTTAATTAATTAAATATTGCAGAGCAGGCCGTCCCACCCGCCACCCTACCGTCGTTTAAATTCACCAGAGCCCCTTCAGGGAAACCGCTCCCCACTTAGGGGGGCCTTCAAGTCGCCGCCCCGCCTCTAGGGGACGGGCGCAAAAGTAAATAGATAAATAAGTAAATATGTAAATATGTAACATACTCAATGAATAAGTTTGTACCGTAGAATAAGTTTGATTCAACAACAATAATAATAATCATAGTTAGCAATCTCACTGCATAAGTGTGTTCAATTCGATTCAAGTAATTACATCATTACAATAGTAATAACAACCTTAATGTTACACTGCACCCCATCATGCCGGACACCATAGAATAAGTTTGATTCAACAATAATAATCAGAATCATAGTAAGCAATCTCACTGTATTAGCGTGTTTAATTCAATTCAAGCAATTACATTGTTACAATAGTATTAATAATAATAACAACAATAATGTGCAAATAAATAAGTAAATAAGTAACATACTCAATGAATAAGTTTGTACCATAGAATAAGTTTGAGTCAACAACAATAATCATAATCATAGCCAGCAATCTCACTGTATTAGTGTGTTTAATTCGACTCAAGTAATTACATTGTTACAATAGTATTAATAATAATAACAACAATAATGTGCAAATAAATAAGTAAATAAGTAACATACTCAATGAATAAGTTTGTACCATAGAATAAGTTTGAGTCAACAACAATAATCATAATCATAGCCAGCAATCTCACTGTATTAGTGTGTTTAATTCGACTCAAGTAATGACATTGTTACAATAGTATTAATAATTATAACAACAATAATAATAATGTAACCACAACAAAAAAAAAAAAAAAAAAATATATATATAATTTTCATATATACATCTTACTATACATTACCAACTGTACAATAATTATAAGTCAGCTAATCAGTATTGATTTAAACCTACCAATTAGATAACCATCAAAAGCACACCCAGCTATTTGAACTGTATAATATATCCAAATCATGTATAAAAGATAAAAGGGTGTAACGAACAACATGTATATAATTATAAGTACTTTTCTACATAAGGTGATTGTCAACCAATTGTACTCAACTCATACACACACCTGTAAATACAATCATTATTGTCATTATCATCATTAGCCAATCAAAGCTGATCGGAATCCAATGACTAACTAGATCCAGCCAACAATCGATCCATAATAATAATACACCAATACAAGTATAACCTCTCAGCAGTACTAATCATCACAAGTCAATTACAGCCAATTGGAATCCGACAGCGAACCTAATCCAATGTACGATCAATCACAAACGCCGTAATCAATTCAATTCAATATTAATGTAATCATCAGCTAGCCAGCAGGCAAACAGAATTGCCATAGCCATTACCAGAACATAGTCATCCAATGTAACTTGATAACACCGATGTAATCTAACATACACTAGGCAACCAGCCTGACCTCTTCTTTGCAATTATAACTTATAACCTATACCCAATAAATGTAACTTCAGCATTAGACTCATCCAGGTTAGGGAAGGAAACAACTGTAATCCCAATAGCTTAGGTACTTCTTCACAATTTCATAATAACTAAAAACAGTATATTATCACCACCATCTCATGCAGGAAAGAATAAGGCCTTAAGCCACACTCGTGAACGCGGCGGGGGCCGGTAGCCCCAAGGCCAGTGGTGTGGAGGGTGGGACCTTGGGGCCATCGGCCCAACTGCTGAACCGGTTATACCATCGGCCCAACTGCTGAACCGGTTATATTTTATATAACTATCATGATCATTACAATAATAAATTAATCATAACCATGTTTGTTTCACTTTATTATTCTAAGTTTTATATCTATAATAATAATAATAGTACCTACATTATTAATTGCAACGACTGAACAATAAGGAATCGCTGGTCAAGTATGAGTTTGAAAGTCGTGACAAAAAAACTTGAAGACAGACACAAAAGCGATAAGCACGTACAAACGTCGATCTTCATATAAAGTCACATACGTTTGAGACATGTGTCTATAAACTTTTGTGCAAATATGGAGCAACAAAAAAATTGATAAGAGCTGTTCTGTGGGCGGTTCTTTAAAGTGGCTATCTTATCTCGATTTCTATAATATTGGTTTCCGATTTTGAATCAGCATAATAAAGTAAATTAAATTCATGCCTATAAATTAATTTTCTAAATTAAATTGACACCACCAACAATATTAGATTAGTTGTAAATATGATTTTTTGTTTGTATAGATATTATGTTGTTTTGAAATTCATTTGATAGGTTTAGGTCTAAAACGGATAGGGCAAAATAAATTATGTAAATAGGGCAATCCGTTATAAAGTTATTAGTAAAACTGAAATATAAGTAATGCAAAATAAGTGAAATACAGTTTCATCAGTTTCTAATAAGACCTATTAGGCCAACTCTCTTAGCTTTTCACGAAGTTTCGTTTGATTTATGTATTGTTCATAAAACGTTGATATACTTCGTAACTAAGATATTTATAGCACATCAGTATTTTTTAATATTATCTGCGTGTAAATAATTAACCGAATCTTCGTAAAAAAGTGCCTGGATAGTTCATTATTTCATCTGTTCAGAATCAGTTCATCTTTTATTTCCCCTTGTAAACAGTATTATTTAATTTTATATAATTATGGAATATACTTATCCATGACATTGTTATGAAATGATGAAAGAAAAGCTCTAAATAAATATGTTTTAGTTATCGATTACGATGCAAATTATTAACAATACGATTCCGAGCAGCAGCAGGTATCGGTACATTTCAGACAAATAAAGGCACAGCACTATTTTTTGCAAAAGTGCACAAAATGATTTACATTGCTGTCTAGAAACGGGGTCAGAAACATTATTGTTGGTTTGAGCAAACAATGTATATTTTATTTGACATTGTGTCAAATTATGACGTTTTTTTATATTTTAGCACTAAAATTGTACTTACCAGTGAAAGGAAATGTTTGCATTAGTTAGATTGTATACTTTGCTTTGCTTTTTGCAAGTGATAATAGCACAAAACTGTTTTTTTTTTATAGAAAAAATCTGTAAAATCACCACTCAACGATTGACGAACGACTGGCAAACGTAAAACCAAGGAAAGGGCGTCATATGAGTAAAAGCGCATATACCAGCCACGCTTGCCCCGCCCACTTACTACTTCTAATCTCTCTCTATGTTCTGTGATTATTACTATGCCAATTATCAATATGCAATGACAGGGAATTCAACAAATTAAACTAGTGTCTAGTTTTGGATTTTCCAGCGCGTCTACCTTGGCGTCCACTTTGGATTTCTATCTCAATATATTTCTGTGAGCGAAATAAAAGTCGTCGGATGGTCATAAAATATATTTATTACAAAATGCTTATTTAGTACACTTAAGATATGAAACGACGTCGTCGTTCCAGTATGTTGGTAGACTTAACGGCCACTGAATTCACCTACTATAATGTAGGTCTATCGTTCCAAACTTTTCGTATCAAAATAGTTCACCGAAAACATCGTTCACTGAGAATCGATACACGCACTAAACAGATGCGGTCGCCCGGACCGGCGTCACATTACGGATTTCACAATACAAAAATTAGACAATCTATCGAGATATAAAAGCGACATTATGTCGACAATTAAACAAAAAATCCATCGCAGATTCATAATGAACACTAAGGTCATCGTTGTAGCCGCGGGGGCGGGGGCGGGGGCGGCGGCGGCGCTTCACGGGCGCCACAGCTTGAGCAGGCCGTCCTCGCTGTAGGTGGCCAGCAGGTTCTGGTGCGGATGGTGCGTCAGACCTATCACCGCTTTCTCGTGGATCTGGAAACAGAGAATAACAGCGTAACGCAGGTGACGTCCACGAAAGCTTCTATTCCGCTATCAGAAAGATGACATAAAATTTACATCGATAACACCGGCCGTTCTCCCGCGACTTCGACCTCGTAAATCAGAGCCAGCGACCCGAGCTGGCGACGTAATTTCCCGGGATAAGAGTTTAAAATCGATTCAGCTCACTGTGATGGTGCGTACAGCACGAGGTCCTCGGCGGCGCAGTAGAGCGGGCGTGTGGGGGGAGGGGGAGGGGGAGGGGGAGGGGGAGGGCGGGCCACTCACCGTGATGGTGCGCTCCAGCTTGCCGGTGGTGGTGCAGAAGGCGTACAGCACGAGGTCCTCGGCGGCGCAGTAGAGCGGGCGTGTGGGGGGAGGGGGAGGGGGAGGGAGAGGGGCAAGGCGGGCCACTCACCGTGATGGTGCGCTCCAGCTTGCCGGTGGTGGTGCAGAAGGCGTACAGCACGAGGTCCTCGGCGGCGCAGTAGAGCGGGCGTGTGGGGGGAGGGGGAGGGGGAGGGCGGGCCACTCACCGTGATGGTGCGCTCCAGCTTGCCGGTGGTGGTGCAGAAGGCGTACAGCACGAGGTCCTCGGCGGCGCAGTAGAGCGGGCGTGTGGGGGGAGGGGGAGGTGGAGGGCGGGCCACTCACCGTGATGGTGCGCTCCAGCTTGCCGGTGGTGGTGCAGAAGGCGTACAGCACGAGGTCCTCGGCGGCGCAGTAGAGCGGGCGTGTGGGGGGAGGGGGAGGGGGAGGGGGAGGGCGGGCCACTCACCGTGATGGTGCGCTCCAGCTTGCCGGTGGTGGTGCAGAAGGCGTACAGCACGAGGTCCTCGGCGGCGCAGTAGAGCGGGCGTGTGGGGGGAGGGGGAGGGGGAGGGGGAGGGCGGGCCACTCACCGTGATGGTGCGCTCCAGCTTGCCGGTGGTGGTGCAGAAGGCGTACAGCACGAGGTCCTCGGCGGCGCAGTAGAGCGGGCGTGTGGGGGGAGGGGGAGGGGGAGGGGGAGGGCGGGCCACTCACCGTGATGGTGCGCTCCAGCTTGCCGGTGGTGGTGCAGAAGGCGTACAGCACGAGGTCCTCGGCGGCGCAGTAGAGCGGGCGTGTGGGGGGAGGGGGAGGGGGAGGGGGAGGGCGGGCCACTCACCGTGATGGTGCGCTCCAGCTTGCCGGTGGTGGTGCAGAAGGCGTACAGCACGAGGTCCTCGGCGGCGCAGTAGAGCGGGCGTGTGGGGGGAGGGGGAGGGGGAGGGGGAGGGCGGGCCACTCACCGTGATGGTGCGCTCCAGCTTGCCGGTGGTGGTGCAGAAGGCGTACAGCACGAGGTCCTCGGCGGCGCAGTAGAGCGGGCGTGTGGGGGGAGGGGGAGGGGGAGGGCGGGCCACTCACCGTGATGGTGCGCTCCAGCTTGCCGGTGGTGGTGCAGAAGGCGTACAGCACGAGGTCCTCGGCGGCGCAGTAGAGCGGGCGTGTGGGGGGAGGGGGAGGGGGAGGGGGAGGGCGGGCCACTCACCGTGATGGTGCGCTCCAGCTTGCCGGTGGTGGTGCAGAAGGCGTACAGCACGAGGTCCTCGGCGGCGCAGTAGAGCGGGCGTGTGGGGGGAGGGGGAGGGGGAGGGGGAGGGCGGGCCACTCACCGTGATGGTGCGCTCCAGCTTGCCGGTGGTGGTGCAGAAGGCGTACAGCACGAGGTCCTCGGCGGCGCAGTAGAGCGGGCGTGTGGGGGGAGGGGGAGGGGGAGGGGGAGGGCGGGCCACTCACCGTGATGGTGCGCTCCAGCTTGCCGGTGGTGGTGCAGAAGGCGTACAGCACGAGGTCCTCGGCGGCGCAGTAGAGCGGGCGTGTGGGGGGAGGGGGAGGGGGAGGGGGAGGGCGGGCCACTCACCGTGATGGTGCGCTCCAGCTTGCCGGTGGTGGTGCAGAAGGCGTACAGCACGAGGTCCTCGGCGGCGCAGTAGAGCGGGCGTGTGGGGGGAGGGGGAGGGGGAGGGGGAGGGCGGGCCACTCACCGTGATGGTGCGCTCCAGCTTGCCGGTGGTGGTGCAGAAGGCGTACAGCACGAGGTCCTCGGCGGCGCAGTAGAGCGGGCGTGTGGGGGGAGGGGGAGGGGGAGGGCGGGCCACTCACCGTGATGGTGCGCTCCAGCTTGCCGGTGGTGGTGCAGAAGGCGTACAGCACGAGGTCCTCGGCGGCGCAGTAGAGCGGGCGTGTGGGGGGAGGGGGAGGGGGAGGGGGAGGGCGGGCCACTCACCGTGATGGTGCGCTCCAGCTTGCCGGTGGTGGTGCAGAAGGCGTACAGCACGAGGTCCTCGGCGGCGCAGTAGAGCGGGCGTGTGGGGGGAGGGGGAGGGGGAGGGGGAGGGCGGGCCACTCACCGTGATGGTGCGCTCCAGCTTGCCGGTGGTGGTGCAGAAGGCGTACAGCACGAGGTCCTCGGCGGCGCAGTAGAGCGGGCGTGTGGGGGGAGGGGGAGGGGGAGGGGGAGGGCGGGCCACTCACCGTGATGGTGCGCTCCAGCTTGCCGGTGGTGGTGCAGAAGGCGTACAGCACGAGGTCCTCGGCGGCGCAGTAGAGCGGGCGTGTGGGGGGAGGGGGAGGGGGAGGGGGAGGGCGGGCCACTCACCGTGATGGTGCGCTCCAGCTTGCCGGTGGTGGTGCAGAAGGCGTACAGCACGAGGTCCTCGGCGGCGCAGTAGAGCGGGCGTGTGGGGGGAGGGGGAGGGGGAGGGGGAGGGCGGGCCACTCACCGTGATGGTGCGCTCCAGCTTGCCGGTGGTGGTGCAGAAGGCGTACAGCACGAGGTCCTCGGCGGCGCAGTAGAGCGGGCGTGTGGGGGGAGGGGGAGGGGGAGGGCGGGCCACTCACCGTGATGGTGCGCTCCAGCTTGCCGGTGGTGGTGCAGAAGGCGTACAGCACGAGGTCCTCGGCGGCGCAGTAGAGCGGGCGTGTGGGGGGAGGGGGAGGGGGAGGGGGAGGGCGGGCCACTCACCGTGATGGTGCGCTCCAGCTTGCCGGTGGTGGTGCAGAAGGCGTACAGCACGAGGTCCTCGGCGGCGCAGTAGAGCGGGCGTGTGGGGGGAGGGGGAGGGGGAGGGGGAGGGCGGGCCACTCACCGTGATGGTGCGCTCCAGCTTGCCGGTGGTGGTGCAGAAGGCGTACAGCACGAGGTCCTCGGCGGCGCAGTAGAGCGGGCGTGTGGGGGGAGGGGGAGGGGGAGGGGGAGGGCGGGCCACTCACCGTGATGGTGCGCTCCAGCTTGCCGGTGGTGGTGCAGAAGGCGTACAGCACGAGGTCCTCGGCGGCGCAGTAGAGCAGACGCCCGCGCGCGCTGAGCGCCGCCGCCACGAGCGCGCCCCCCTCCTGCTCGCGCCGCCCGCTCGAGAACGACCGCACTATCTGGCCCTGAAACACGCACTCGTTTGAAAACCATTTTCTTATCCAGGACCTCCCAAGACTGAGTGACGAGTGCTTGAAAAATTCGTCAATCCTGCTAGGTCCCGGGGAGTTTAGCGGTCGGAGCGGTCGCCCGGATCGCGAACGGTCGAAGGTTCGAGTCGCATTTCAGAGTGCCAGGGACGAAGTGGATTTTTCATCAAGAAGACCGAGCACTCGGGAATATTAATATATCCGATTTGAATGCTCCAAAACTGTCGCTGGCGATGCCGATTAAATGAAATGAAAATGTTTTTATCCAAGTAAGCTTGTTAAAGGCACTTTTGAATCGTCCAATTCTTTCTCCTATCGCTCTTTCGGGACGTCTTTTAGCTCACAAGAAGAACAAGCAAAAGAAACTTACCAGCTCTTAATCATAAGTAATGACATTTACATAAATCATGTCATTACCAAAATAGTACTATAATAGTATTATAACAATAATAAATACGATTTTCAAAGTCTGTAGGACATAGGTTGGCCCGGCGAGTCTGGAAATTTTTAAAAACTATGGGCATTGGTAAACAACATCAGACAAACTCTTCTGCAGGTTAAGATATCAATCTCCTTAATCAACATTTTTGTCCATTGCATGACTTTGATACATCGCACAAATTGAATACTTTAAAAAAAATTTCATCTCTTCCATGCCCCTACTATCCATCTTTTTCACTATCTCAATTTACTGACTGTGATGTTAAAAAGAGTGTTATATCTATAACATCCAGCGCTGTGGGTAGCGACAATGTTACCCGTAAGATGATTCTTCCTATCCTAGATGAAATCCTTCCCATCATTACACACATCCTTAACCACTCTACAAGCACTGCGGTTTTTCCATCTATTTGGAAAAATGCCCAAGTCACCCCTTTACCAAAGAAGGTCAAACCATTGTCCTTTATCGACTATAGGCCTATTTCGATCCTGCCTTTCCTATCCAAAGCCCTAGAACACCTTGTCCATAACCAATTATCCACTTTTCTCCTTAAGAATCAACTCCTTAATTAAATCCTAAACACTTATCAATCTGGGTTTCGTGCTGGACATGGTACTGCTACGGCACTGGTTAAAGTCACTGATGATATCAGATCAGGCATGGAAAGTGGAAAAGTCACGGTTTTATTCTAACTTGATTTTAGCAATGCTTTTAACACTGTTGACTTTGATATTTTGCTTGAAATATTGCACTCTATTAACATATCTCCAGCGGTGATTGATTGGTTCCGTAGTTACCTGTCTGGGCGCCGGCAGCGAATACGCATCGAGGATACATTCTTCAATTGGTGTAATATTTCTGCTGGAGTGCCGCAGGGTGGCGTTTTATCTCCATTACTTTTCTCCCTATTTATTAATTCAATTTCATGTCAGTTAGCTTCATCCTACCACCTCTATGCAGATGATCTACAAATTTATTCACAAGCTAGTATTGACCAGCTTCCGCAAGCCATTAATGACATGAATAATGACTTTAAATCAATATGTAGATGGAGTAAGTTATATGACTTGAAAGTAAATCCTCACAAGATTCACATAATCATCGTTGGCAATTCTGCGCAGACTAACAAAATCGATTGGACACAACTACCAGCAATCATGTTTGATAATATTACATTAACATCCAGTGACAGTGTTAGAAACTTGGGCATTTTAATTGATAAAAATCTCACGTGGGGGCCTCAAGTACAAGAAATGAGCCGTAAAATGTTTGCTGCAGCTGGGTCTTTAAAACGATTACGGAACTTTCTACCAATTGCCACTAAAACTGCGCTGGCACAACTCTCTTCTTCCTATTCTAGATTATGCCTGATGTCTATCTTAATCTTAACCTCACTGAAGAGCAATTAACACTCTTCTCCTTCCTATTCAAGAATAACATAGAATAATCTCGGTATAAACCGATGTCAGCTATCTTGACCTCACTGAAGAGCAATTAAATAAACTTGAACGGCTTCAAAATTTCTGTATCAGATTCATTTTTGGATTACGCAAATATGATCATGTTTCCGATTTCCGTACTAAGCTCAAGTGGCTACCAATTCGTCTTCGCCGGAATGCACATATTGTTTCTCTCGTCTTCAGTATTCTATTCAATCCTTTTTCACCAGCTTACCTCAAGGAACGCTTCACGTTCCTTCACGATACGCACGCACGAGTTTTAAGGTCGTCGGAGAATCTGAGATTGGCAATACCAATGCATTCAAGTAAATTTCTGAACAAGTCTTTTACAGTACAAGCTGCTCGCCTCTGGAATGCATTGCCGGAGGATATTAGGCGTGCACAAACTATTAACAGTTTTAAAATATTAGTTAAGGAGCACTATTTATCACTGAATTCATTGCAGCTATCATAATCCTAACTTTGCATTCTTAAGTAAGTGTATATGTATATATGTATGTATTTATGTGTCTATGTATACAGGAAGCAATTAAAACCACTCTCCAAATTTGAGTATGTTAATCTTTACGACAAATAATGAAATACGGGTTTTTTCTTTTTATGTCGTTTAGAACAAAAATGTTTGAAACCTCTTCATACTTTTACGGGCTTAGGACCGTCAAATTGCCTAAATCCTATTAGATACCTACTATTACAATAGCTATACTGCTTTAAATTTATAAAGTAAGTAGGTAAGTAAATATCGAGTTACCTAAAATTCTGTTTAGTTAAACCAATTCAAAGTAGGTACTTAACTCGCTATTCTTTTGAAATTAGGCGTATTTAATCAACTTTATGTACATAATCAACTAATCAATTTACCTACCTACTTTAACTATTTACCTACGTATACTTTAATAATTGTTCAAAGTACATACCGTTCCTCTCCAAACAGATACCTTTCCTGCACATAGTCTTTTAATTTTGCGAGCACTACCGTGTCATTTTTCACTTGGTAAAATGCCGCTTTGATTTGCACTTTTAAGTCCTCGAGGCTTTGTGCTTCCTCAACATACACACGTCTTTTAATTTCGCCCCACAAATAAAAGTCACACTGTGGTAGGTCCGGCGATCGCGCAGGCCCCACGATGGGGCCACCGCGTCACGTTGATCACCATGTATGTAACACTGCACCATTTCATAATATTCGCGACTGGAATACATTACGACGCGCGAAGTGTGGGGCTGCGGCGGGTGGCGCGCAACACGGAAGCGGAAGGCGGAAGTGCGTGCGTTCAATGTGACAAAATAAAAAACCGAGCGCCCTTCTACCCCTGCTTGTTTTATTCATAACTCATGTGACAATGCGAATGTTATAATTATCTTGTAATTGCAACAAGTTTATATTTCATTTTGAAAATTTTACATACCGTTTTTTTTTTCATATATGTGATCTATTAACGATACCTAATGCCTAGAAAAAATTTGGAGAGTCATTTTAATTGCATCCGGTATATATGTGACTATGTATGTTTATGTATTATAAACAATTTTCCTGGTAAACCATTAATGTTTTGTTATGTTATGGTATACCTGTAGACTTCTTAATGCACCATAGACTACCCAATTTTTCAACTGTATCCTGTATGCTACGTTAAGGTTGCCTGGAAGAAATTGCTTTTTAGCAATAAGGCCGCCAATTGTACTGTTCTGTTAGATTATTATATATTTGTTCATTCACTTATGGTGTGTACAATAAAGAGTATTTCATTCATTCATTCATATAATTAATCGTTATAAAACAAAGCGAAGGCTATTAATTCCATGCTTTGCAGTCCTTAAAATAATCATCAACTCTATAATTCCTAAGCCTTTACTCATAAGAATGTTCTTTATATGAATTTTAAATTTATTTATGGGTAGGCCAATTACATTTTGTGGAACTTTATTAAACATAGCAATGCTGTTCGGTTAATGACCGAACACTGCATCATATGCATTTTACGTAGTTTAGTTACCTAAACTACGTAAAATGCATATGATGCAGTGTTCTTGGAACGGCAAGTTTATCTTTATTGCTTGTGTTAAGATTATGAACACTACTTTTTTTTGTGAAGGAATCGTAATGTTTTCTTGTGTACATAATATTCTCATAGATGTATTGAGAGGCAACAGTCAGAATATTTATTTCTTTAACTATTTCTCTGAGAGATTCCCTCGGCCGTATATTATATATAGCACGGACAGCTCTCTTTTGTAGAATAAAAATATCTTGAATGCTAGCCGCAGAACCCCACAACAATAGACCATACGTCATTACACTATGAAAATAACTGAAATATACCAATCTTGCCGTTTCAACATTTATCAAGAGTTTAATTTTCTTAACAGCAAATGCTGCAGAACTCAGTCTACTTGACAAGTTATCAATATGAGGATCCCATTGCAGTCGGGAACTAGTGTTATAGCAAGGAACTCTGTCGATTCCACCAACTCAACTTTTTCACTATTAACATTTATTTAGATAAGAAATAATATGTTAAGGTTTACTAGATCGCATCGGCTATAAGCTGTAACGATCGATGTAATTGTTGTTGTTAGTCTAGCTCCTGTCGAATCACATTTTAGTTCGGTTCTGGAATCGATTGCGTCGTTGAATATTTTTAAATTACAATTTCAATCAGTTTTATTTCATGTCGAATATAATGTCGTGGAGCGTCGTGTGTGCAAAATCGATCAAATATAATAACATTTGTTTTATTGAACCTTTAATTTTTGTGAATGCAGTGTCTCGATGTATCACAATATTGATTTAACCGTAATCGCGCCGATCGCGTACGCGGTTTGCGCATGTTTGTTAGTGCTCGTAAAGTAAATAAAGGCGGTGCACACCTGCATGTTCATGACGACGACGGTGTTGGTCCTGTTGCACACGACGAAGTGGTCGGGGTTGTTGGGCGTCAGCAGCAGCGAGTTGACGGCGGGCTCGCCCCCCCCCAGCGGCGCGTGCGTCGCCACACACTCGCCCGTGCGCAGCGACCACACCTGCGGCCACACAGCGGTCAGAGACCAGACACTTTTCCGAATACACTAAAGCTACGTAACGCCGAGGCGACGTCCTCGTCCTCCGATGAAGATCTACAGAATTCCCTACCGGAGGGTTTCGTTTCTCCTCTATGGTAAAAATCCAGGTATCGGCCGATCTCTATTTTATTATGTTCGTCTAAGGTTTTCGAAGCGCCGCTGTATCCTTTTGTCGATCGACATCAGCGACGATTAATTTCTAGCGACTAAACAACTCTCTAGTCTGGATTTTAGCCATTGGCGACATCTTAGTGATGTCATGTGGATATTTGTATAAATGTTTAAGTTGGTAACACTGCTATCAAATCATCAACATTCTTTATCATTCGTTCAACATTACTGAAGTACAGTTGAAGTAGTAAAATGAAACGTCATATCTTTATAACGTCACTAAGATGTCGTCGTATCCTATAGCTAGAATCATGGATAGAGAGTTAGGCGGCCGCATCCCAGGCCTATGTAGAAAATTTACTATTTGTATTGTCTCTTATCTGGGTGTCGTGATACCTTCGTTGTTTCAGAAATATTTTATTACAAATTTATACATACTTTAAGCGAAAATAATTTGTCCCCAACCTAATATAAAACATAAACCTGATCCGGGAGTTGACAATATTTCGCAATTTGTTTTCAAATAATAGGGATGACGAATAATTTTTGTTTGTTTTGTGGTGGATTATTGAAAAATATTAGACATTATTTTTTTTTTACTTTACGTAATAATTAAATTACGATAATACGTTGAATTAAAATGAATAAAAAGATGTCTCAATTCGAATATATACGGCATATTTAAAGTAATGATGTCATGTTATTATTATGTATGAAAATGTCGCGATTAATCGTAAATCGACCGTGTGACGGTGATCTTATAAAGTGATATAGCACCTTGACCGTGCCGTCGGAGGAGCCGGACAGCACGTGGTGCGCGTCGGGCGTGAACACGGCCTCGTTCACGAACGACGCGTGGCCGCGGAACTCCTTCAGGATCTTGCCAGACTTCAGCCCGTGGATCCTGCGGAACCGTTTGTTTGTTTGAATAGGTGAGTTGAGCAGCAGTGACAAATGTCACAAAAACGGGAGAATATTTACTTCTTTTTAAGCTTGCCAGTAAAAGTTACGCAAAGATCATGTAATACGAAATTGATAAAAAAAAGTCCGCGACAGAATATGTCTATCTTATATCTTATCCCGAAAAAAGGGATGAAAATGGAAGCGGAAGCTCGCCTAGGGCATTAAATAGTAACCATAGTAACTGTTGCTAACAATTCAATGTGTGATTTTAATTATATTCCATGTCATCCTTTTCCAAATAATGGATTTGATTTAAACTGTTTACGCAGGATTAAATAATGTTTGTCGCTAACATTAAATTCATATGTTATATTGGTCACGTACACGAAATTGTTACTTTCGCTGCCACTAGATGATGCTACTTTACTTTTGAAACGAGTCACGTGACGCCCTCGGAGTGTGTATGTGTATGTATATGTATGTGTATGTGTGTATGTATGTCACCTGACGGTGCGGTCGAAGGAGGCGGGCAGCTGCTGCGAGCTGTCCCTGGTGAACTGCAGGCACGTGACGCCCTCGGAGTGTGTATGTATATGTATATGTATGTGTATGTGTGTATGTATGTCACCTGACGGTGCGGTCGAAGGAGGCGGGCAGCAGCTGCGAGCTGTCTCTGGTGAACTGCAGGCACGTGACGCCCTCGGAGTGTGTATGTATATGTATATGTATGCGTATGTGTGTATGTATGTCACCTGACGGTGCGGTCGAAGGAGGCGGACAGCAGCTGCGAGCTGTCCCTGGTGAACTGCAGGCACGTGACGCCCTCGGAGTGTGTATGTATATGTATATGTATGCGTATGTGTGTATGTATGTCACCTGACGGTGCGGTCGAAGGAGGCGGACAGCAGCTGCGAGCTGTCCCTGGTGAACTGCAGGCACGTGACGCCCTCGGAGTGTGTATGTATATGTATATGTATGCGTATGTGTGTATGTATGTCACCTGACGGTGCGGTCGAAGGAGGCGGACAGCAGCTGCGAGCTGTCCCTGGTGAACTGCAGGCACGTGACGCCCTCGGAGTGTGTATGTATATGTATATGTATGCGTATGTGTGTATGTATGTCACCTGACGGTGCGGTCGAAGGAGGCGGACAGCAGCTGCGAGCTGTCCCTGGTGAACTGCAGGCACGTGACGCCCTCGGAGTGTGTATGTATATGTATATGTATGCGTATGTGTGTATGTATGTCACCTGACGGTGCGGTCGAAGGAGGCGGACAGCAGCTGCGAGCTGTCCCTGGTGAACTGCAGGCACGTGACGCCCTCGGAGTGTGTATGTATATGTATATGTATGCGTATGTGTGTATGTATGTCACCTGACGGTGCGGTCGAAGGAGGCGGACAGCAGCTGCGAGCTGTCCCTGGTGAACTGCAGGCACGTGACGCCCTCGGAGTGTGTATGTATATGTATATGTATGCGTATGTGTGTATGTATGTCACCTGACGGTGCGGTCGAAGGAGGCGGACAGCAGCTGCGAGCTGTCCCTGGTGAACTGCAGGCACGTGACGCCCTCGGAGTGTGTATGTATATGTATATGTATGCGTATGTGTGTATGTATGTCACCTGACGGTGCGGTCGAAGGAGGCGGACAGCAGCTGCGAGCTGTCCCTGGTGAACTGCAGGCACGTGACGCCCTCGGAGTGTGTATGTATATGTATATGTATGCGTATGTGTGTATGTATGTCACCTGACGGTGCGGTCGAAGGAGGCGGACAGCAGCTGCGAGCTGTCCCTGGTGAACTGCAGGCACGTGACGCCCTCGGAGTGTGTATGTATATGTATATGTATGCGTATGTGTGTATGTATGTCACCTGACGGTGCGGTCGAAGGAGGCGGACAGCAGCTGCGAGCTGTCCCTGGTGAACTGCAGGCACGTGACGCCCTCGGAGTGTGTATGTATATGTATATGTATGCGTATGTGTGTATGTATGTCACCTGACGGTGCGGTCGAAGGAGGCGGACAGCAGCTGCGAGCTGTCCCTGGTGAACTGCAGGCACGTGACGCCCTCGGAGTGTGTATGTATATGTATATGTATGCGTATGTGTGTATGTATGTCACCTGACGGTGCGGTCGAAGGAGGCGGACAGCAGCTGCGAGCTGTCCCTGGTGAACTGCAGGCACGTGACGCCCTCGGAGTGTGTATGTATATGTATATGTATGCGTATGTGTGTATGTATGTCACCTGACGGTGCGGTCGAAGGAGGCGGACAGCAGCTGCGAGCTGTCCCTGGTGAACTGCAGGCACGTGACGCCCTCGGAGTGTGTATGTATATGTATATGTATGCGTATGTGTGTATGTATGTCACCTGACGGTGCGGTCGAAGGAGGCGGACAGCAGCTGCGAGCTGTCCCTGGTGAACTGCAGGCACGTGACGCCCTCGGAGTGTGTATGTATATGTATATGTATGCGTATGTGTGTATGTATGTCACCTGACGGTGCGGTCGAAGGAGGCGGACAGCAGCTGCGAGCTGTCCCTGGTGAACTGCAGGCACGTGACGCCCTCGGAGTGTGTATGTATATGTATATGTATGCGTATGTGTGTATGTATGTCACCTGACGGTGCGGTCGAAGGAGGCGGACAGCAGCTGCGAGCTGTCCCTGGTGAACTGCAGGCACGTGACGCCCTCGGAGTGTGTATGTATATGTATATGTATGCGTATGTGTGTATGTATGTCACCTGACGGTGCGGTCGAAGGAGGCGGACAGCAGCTGCGAGCTGTCCCTGGTGAACTGCAGGCACGTGACGCCCTCGGAGTGTGTATGTATATGTATATGTATGCGTATGTGTGTATGTATGTCACCTGACGGTGCGGTCGAAGGAGGCGGACAGCAGCTGCGAGCTGTCCCTGGTGAACTGCAGGCACGTGACGCCCTCGGAGTGTGTATGTATATGTATATGTATGTGTATGTGTGTATGTATGTCACCTGACGGTGCGGTCGAAGGAGGCGGACAGCAGCTGCGAGCTGTCCCTGGTGAACTGCAGGCACGTGACGCCCTTGGAGTGGGCGCGGTCGAGCCGCCGCTGCACCTGCCCGCTGGACACCTTCCACACCTGCGCACGCGCACGCACACACTTACAGCTTTACACAGCCCCCAAGCACGACAGTATACACCGTACCGACTCTCGGTCAGTGCATCCGACGCTCGTTAATAGGGAGAGTTATTTCATTATAATAATAATATCATTTATCCATCTCGAATAACTCTATATGATCAATACAATTTTAAATCGAAAGTGCATCCACAGAAAATGTGACAAAACGGTTTATGACTCAGTGACGGTGAGTGCACCCATAGTGTCTGTAGTTCTGTCCTAACCACTACACAATAGTAAATTTATACAACGTGCTCCTGCACTTTTTTAAATTAAAAAAAGCTAAATTTATGAAATACAAAGTGGTATTTATTTATTTAAACGGGCATGTATTTTATGAAGATAATTATTGCTTTAGAATATTATCTATGTAAACATGAAAAAATAAACTTTTCTGAAAACCGCCTCAAAACCGTATTGAAGTGTGGACCTCCATATATTTAGTCGATTTTTAGGCGGTTTTTTAGTCGATTACCATACCTAAATCAGATACTATGATGAAACCGCATCAAAATCGGTTCAACCAAACGCGAGGTAATCGCGCACAATCATACATCCATATTAAAAAATATATATTCTATATGGATGAATGGCGGTATTCAAAAAATATATTTCTTCTATTATAACGATAAGGGCTTCAAATTAAAGATCTTGATTACTACGCTCCAGAAATACTTTGTACACATTCACTAGTGTCTGTTTTTTAATATCGGAGACTAAATTGACATTTACTGTGGTGCCAAGTTTTGCAGTTCTTAAATAGTGATGAGTCTCACCGGACTTTATACGAAAAAGTATAGTAGATTACCATTTTTTTACAAGTTGCTGATAAAATAGAGCAAATAGTAAGGAAACAAATTATTCATGGAAATTATCTTTTTAAATAAAGTACGGCAAACGAGAAGCGATACCAAATGTAAACAAAACCAATGCAATAATACTCAAAACGATGGGCAGGGAAGTATCTCAAGTCTATTGACTTAACTCGTAGCTTAGGTCCTGCTATTTTTTATTAATTATAGTTTGAATTATTTTATTAATGTAGATATGAAGAATGATATTTTAATATAAAGAATATTAATAATGTTTATGGCATATGGCATAACAGTCTTTAGACTGTTAAAACGTATATAAAGACTGTTAAAACGGATAAGTATCCATATCTAGATCCCAATAATAGCGACAGCAACAAACTGCCACAAGGATCTCCTCGAAGTGACTCTACATGATATACAGATTCTCTATTGATGAAATAATTAAAAATATTGAAAATCTAAAGAAAGGTGAAAGTATAGGACCAGATGGTGTATGTAACTGTGAACTGTGGGATTATTTAAAAAGTCAACTATATTAAAAAAAAAAGCTACTTTAATTATTTATCGATTTGTGTAATTATTTAATTAAAAATAATATTTAATTACTCAAAATCCATATATCAATACTATAGATATCCATCTCTAGTAGAACACATCGACGTCGAAACGAGCGCGCCAAAAAATCCGGTGTTAAAAGCTTTTATTTTGGTACAAAATTTCAGTTTGTCGGTGCCTAATATTTCCTATAGTTAGTTATTGTTTCGATTGAGTAGGTGTAACCCTGACCTTGACTTTCCCGTCGTTGGAGCCGGCGGCGAGCGTGTCGGAGTCGCGCGCGAAGGCGAGGCTGAGCACGGCCTCCTGCATGGTCATGTACTCGTCGTGCGCCTGGTAGCGCAGGTCCTTGCGGATCTTGCCCGTCGTGAAGTTCCACACCTCCACCAGCCCGTCCACCGAGCCAGTCACCAGGTACTGCCCGTCGGGGGAGAACCTGCACGATAATAATTATACTTTTTGTATCAAATCAACCGTGCATTCACGATGCTAATGCCACCCCCGGGCACCCCGAGATGGGGTGGGATCGTTTGTAGTCACCGCCTATTTGCACGATATGTTTTTAATAAAAATTTACTGATCGACTGCCCTCCCGTGTATTGTTACGAAAACTAGAATGACGTATATTAGGGCATGCCATCCGCTATTTGGTTACTCGAATTAACTAGATAACAGGCCAATAAGGGGATTTTTGTCTAAAAAAACGCTTTATTGCACTCAAAATAATACTGTTTACAATAATAAAAAACCGTTTAACTGGGAGCGGGACACACGCACGAAGCAACAAGGATCCATTAAAAAAATTAAAAGAAAAAAACATTTGTCGTTTTCTATGGAGTTGTTCAAAATTTTCGAGTTATATATACCTCTATAGGTACTATTGCCGTAACGTTTGCATGTCAAAGTCATATGGCGGCGCGGCTGTTTGTGTTGCTGACACACAATAATATACGCTGCCTAAATTTATGTTCAATTTGCTGACCAACATCATGGTTGTGTGCAGAACGAAAATTGCAGCTTGGTTATTATTAATGCTGACAAAATATTTGTATGGCTGCCAATTGATTTCTAGTAGAGATGCGTCGAATAGTGGTTTCACCGAAAAACCGAACAGTATTCGGTTTAAGCTTAACCGAAACGGATATTTAACCTTATTCGGTTTCGGTTTCGGTCCCATTCATTCATTCGGTATTTCTCGGTGCTCCTCGAAAACAAGGAACCTATATGAAAAAATAAGCAAGATTTGCCGAATAGAGCTTGGTGTTTTGCTTAACTTTTATTTTATCTCCGAGTAAAGCTCCACGCCTCCCCTAGAGGGCGCGACCCACAGATTGCAAAAAACACAGGTTCAAAGTAACATTTTTACCTGGCGCACTCCACGTGAGACTTCTGTCCGAACTTGATCATCTTGGAGAGTTGCGTCGGGCACTGATCCTCCTCCTCGTCTCTGATAGCGGCCTTACCACGGAACAAATCGATCGTCGTACCTATTGTAAAACGTTTGTTTTATTAATGTATGTATAGTATTGCCTTTGCCTTTGTTGTCCTCACTACATGGACTACGCGTATGACATAAATGCACAAGAAATTTCAGATCGGAGCACTCGGAATGTTGGATAAATACAAAATAATATGATATATTGGAACTGGATAATAGACTCGGCGTTAGGGAACTTGGCGTTATTCATGTCCAGAACATTTCGAATACACCGCCAACAAACCTTTTAAGGCGCTGGGGCTTTTGATTATATCTTCCGAACTATTTAAAAAAATGAAAACGCTTAAAATACTGTAGTGTGGTTACGTTTGAAGGCACCTTGAGTACGCTTCTTGGATTTGGAACCTAGGATACGATATACAGCGTGTTTGGTAATACCTGTATAATCCCGAAACATGGCCATACAACCTAGCACAAAGAACACAATTGATAGGTCAAAAAACAATTTCATGTAAATTGATATTTTCATACAAATATTTGAACAATTTGTTTTCAATTACTATGCTACAACCCTGTAAGCTTACACGTGCCGTCCCGGCGCACTCGCTCTTTCTCTCTCTCTCTCTCTCTCTCATTACCTCTCACTCTCTCGTTTCCTTGAATACATTTTGATGTTGCCGACGCGCGCACTCGACTACGTATGAGTTTACTTATAATTAAAACAATTTAAGATTAAATAGGTACATACCTATAGCGTTCTAATCTCTTTCAGCTTTCACTTGTCAACATTACCTACACTTCACCTCCACTTTATCAGTCCAGGGTCTCGATATGCCGGCCACCGCATAAAACACACATCTCCATTCGACTCGACACAGACCGTGTCGTGTTACTCTCGACGTAAAGTCATATCCTCTGTCTCGATGGAATAGGTGATCGGCCGGCCTACCTGTGGCACACTATGGAATGAACCAGTTGTATGTAACCAATTCACAAATGCCGCGAATCACCGGTAAGAAGGAAGACGTCGACGGTTTTCAGGTCTTCCTGACACGTGGCGCTCGTCATAACGCCGCCGAGCCGCAGCAAGATTACCGTCACAAGCACCGCCACACATTATCATCTCGTAATATTAGGCATTTGAGTACGAATTCATTGCACTGACCGCACACAAACATAATACACAGGTAAACAGAACGAGAATGAAAAATAAACCAAAAGTCCCGAAAGAACGAAAACGTAAGTTGACCTTCTAAATTCTGAAAACTCACAAGTACGCCGATGAAAGTCACGGACGCGACTGACGCGATGACCAAAACTACATAGGTTATTATTATTGCAACTCGAACGCCAATGTACCTAAATTAAAAGTGTACCGATTTTGGGGTTCCGCGTCAAGAAATATTATTTATTATTAGACCTTTCCATTACAACTAACCTTTATTTAATTATCATTTAAACTAAGAATAAAAGAGATACTTAGATTATTAATATCATTGTATAAGTCCGTATTTTATTGTTTCGTGAAAATAACACGGCTTTATGAAAAAAATAACAAAACTTCAAAGCAAATAATCTACAGAACCTTACTGACACATCAGAAACCCGAGTTTCTCAATACACATCGTCGTCGATTTTATGTCTCTCTCGCTCCTTCTTGCATAGACTAATGTGAGCAATGGTGCAGATATTGAACTTCAATCAAAGTATTTGCAATTTCTTTTTTATTTTGACTGTATTATTACAGAAGTTTTCATATTAATAGTTTTTGAAACACCGTTAATCACAAGATTAGTGTTTTTTTATAGTTAAAAGTCATTTACTACTAACTTTTTCTTTGTTTGGAAATAATAAATTCCTCTCAGATGCATATTTATTCTAGGCATTTATCTTTAGATTTATTTAACTTCTGTTATTTTTTAAACTAGTTCGGCACATGGAGTCGATGACCAAATACAACACAACAGCTGTTTTTAGGGTTGTCAGCGTACAGTTTTACTTCGAACAAAAAAAGCTGAATATCTAGGTCATGTGCTGGGTTTCAGTCTTAGTGATCATTTTTCTGGGTTCTATTCATCATACCCTATGTGCCATATTCGGGATTATACAGGTATTACCAAACACGCTGTATTTGTTTCTAACTTAGACGGCATCGAAAAGAAATGTGTGCGCTTTATTTGCGCCCGTTTTGAGATTCCCGCGTTAACCAACGAACAGCTTTGCTAACGCTTGCATCTCCTTCCCCTGTTATTGCGCAGACAAATCACTGATGTTTGTTACCTACTTAAAATCGCTCAAGGAAAGATAGATGTCCGGAACTATAGAGCAAAATTCAGATCGAAATGCCGAACTTAAATCTTCGTCAGAAAAATATTTCGCTTAGAATTCTCTTTGCACGTAATGAAATTTAGGAGGAGCAGCATATGCATTAGAATTAGTAATTTGAATAACGAACTAAATACAAAGTTCAATGATGATAGTAGATTCGACCGTTTTAATAGCATGACAAGACATCAAGAATGTTCCTACCCTGAAGGTACCGTCCTAAACTGTAGTAATTGCTGATCGTTCGTGTCTTTAGCATATTGTGTAATGTTATTGATACAATTCTAATTTCACAGATTGTTTGCATTTAGCGGAATTTGTAATTAACTCAAAGAGTTACAAATGTATCATATTGTAAATAATCCTGTAAGATCCCCAAAAATAATAAAATGACAAAAAAGATTATTCTTACAATTAGTGAGTGGTGATTAACCCCCGGTTTCAATAATACACCGACAACCATCGGTAGCAGCTACCGACCGTTTTTTGAACTACCGATAACCATTCGTTTTTGCGTTTCACAATCATCGGTAGGCATCTACCAACTAAGAACGGTTGTCGGTAGCTCATTTTTTTAAATTGTAATCATATAATTCGAGGAAAAGAAATCTTTCCATACAGCCTTGTCTTAGGTAATGTTATGATTATACTGAAATGTTGGTCTTTAAAATTTAATAATTTCTTGGACAAAATTGAAATCGTAAGAAGGAAGACAGAGATCTCAATAGGAAAGAGGTGAACTGATTACGTACCGAAACTAAGTTTGAATTTTTTTTTTTAATTATTTTGCCTACGAACGGTTATTAGTATCAGATCAATCCGTTAGTAGCACACCGTCGGTAGCTTTACCTACCAATGGTATGTTATTGAAACACTCTTTTGCTACCATCGATAGGAAATGCTACGGATGGTAGCAAAAACGGATAGTTTTTTGGTTATTGAAACCGGGGGTTAATAAATTGTGGTATAACGTCAGGGGATCGCAGATTTTCGATTTCAAAGCAGATCGAGCGCTCGACTCGATACACTTGAAGCGATATCGCAGACCACCAGGACGTATATGCAATTCCGTATCAAGATTTGTGACCGATATCGACAGATCGTCAATTTCATCAGTGAACACCGGAGATTCTCCATCCTTTTATAAGGGTGCGCGATTCCTGCGATATCGCTCATCGATAGCGAATCGAATCGCATCGAGCCACGAGTAAGTGGGACGTACATGATCAACTTGCGACGTACACTAGCTTACGACTAACAACCTATGGACGTCGGCGGGCGGGCCACTGACCTGGGGGCAGCAGGCCCTGGTGCTGCTGCCACTTGAGCGCCTGCCCCAGCAGCGCCAGCAGGCGCGAGCTGGGCACCACCGACACCTCGCCCGCCAGCGCCGCCGCCACGGCCGCGCGCCGCCGCTCCTTGCCGCCGCCGCCCGCGCCCCCCGCGCCGCCCACGCCGCTGCCGTACGCCTCGCGGGGGTCGAAGTACGACCGCGCCACCAGGTTCTCTGCGCGCACGCACACACGACCCGGTCAGAAATGCATACTGCGATACGACATACCGTACTCGCGGCAGGCGCGATCTCGGCGGCACGTACCGAGGTGAATGTACCGATCCGGTTCCTGCTGTTTCATGAGCAAACAGGGATGAGTCTGGCGCAAGAGCGAGCGCGCGGCTCCGAGCTCGCGCAACTCGATCAGCTCGAGGACCACCTGCTCGTACAGATCCATCAGCTTCTTGTCGGGCAGTTTCAACGAAGCCGTCGCCTTCAGGACCGTGTCCCAGTGCCCGTTGTTTATGTCCGCACAGAACCCGTCGACGCTGTCCACCGTGTTCAGTGTGACGCCCGTTTCCTCCTTGATCGATCGACATGATTGTGTATTAATTTCTTGAAACATAGAGGTTTGATGTGACTAACAGTTAGGGGATAAAGTATGAAACTACCGATTAGTATTAAGAATTTTAAAAAGTCCTAAGATGTAACATATATATTAAATCAAAATATTTACCCCACATTGAATTATATATTGTAGCCATCTAATCGGACTTTTATTTATACCTTTGCGCTAAAATTATGGGGATCTATATTCGACAAACTTAGGTATAATGTGAAAAAAAAAATTATAACAATGTTGATAGTTGTATAACTAGGTTGCTGAACACCTCTTAATATTTAAATATATTTTATGATCTGTTCATGTTGTAAGGTCATGCTGTGTAAACTCATCTTACATTATTTAATCAAATTACTTTAAATATATTTGTAATTTTCTTTATTGATTGTAATCTGTTTGTGTTTAAAAGTGCTCTTTGGTAATATCATTACCTAGTTAAAGTAACAAAGTATTCAGTTAATGAATCATGATATAATAAATTAGCTAATATCTTTTGACGGACAGTGGACAAATTATGAGATAAGGGTCCTGTATAGCTGATGACGATTTTAATTCCGATTTATACCTTTGTTATTTTATTTTATCTTCATAATGTTTGAAAATATATAATGATAATGATAAAGATTGATGTTTTAGCATATAATAAATAATAAAAAAGATTAACTCACTTGTAAAGTTTGTAAGGTCTTTGTTAAGTTGGACTCTTTCAGGTACTGTTGAATTAATCTGATGACACTGTACAGACAAATAACATTTTATATATAACATTAATGATAAATATATCTATGCTATGTAACAATTAAATAATATAAATTTTACATAATATAGAAATATTATCAAAATCCACCAACCCCATATCAGAGTACCTGGGGCTGGTGGATTTTTAAACATTTTTCATTGAGAAAATAGGTAAGTATCCTCCTCAGTTTATATTTGACTTGTTATTTGTGATATAAGTTATCGCTGCATTTGCCGTCTCTGTACTGGTTCTCACAACATAAAATATAATCATTTTATTGTAAATAAGTTCACTACGTATCTTTGCATTCACCTAAATTGAAATAAGGATGAATGAAATGTTACTCTTTATAACTATTACATTTATTGTTAACTACAAAGTATGAATTCACTGGAAAATGAACATAAAATATTCTAAAATTGTTTTGTGGAATTTTCTGATGGAAAATTATCAAACACATATAGTGTAAAATTATCAAACACATATAGGTAGTATGTGTAATGTTATTTTTCTATTTTAAGGTAGTTTCAAGCACCACTGTTGCTCTTATAAACTTTTAAGTGTGTCTAATCTCATCATCATCATCAGCCGGAAGATGTCCACTGCTGAACATAGGCCTCATAATGTCTAATCTCATCTGCGTAATTTTCATAAGAAGTCACAAAAACCTTTAGTAGCATTTTTTTTTTGTGGTCTCAGTCTAATTAAGATTATTTGAAAAAGTTTGTAAACTAGTATTTGAGGGTTGGAGAGTCTGTAGATAAATTTGTTGATGGATTCCCAATGTTATATATCTTTGTAAAAAAAAATATATATGTTGTAAGTGGTATTTACCTATAATTGTTTCATACATTTCTTCTTGCGAGCTAAATCAAGTTATTGTTGTATGTTAAAATGTATTAAATGTTGGTCAATCAAAATGAATAAAAAATTAAAAAAAAAAAAATTTTCTTTGTATCAAAGTGCATTTACACCAAATTAACAAACAGCTAGAATAAGAGCATTTTTTCTAGATCTTTTAGTGTAAATAAAAGTTTATTTTTAGTGTTTACACCAAAATATCAAGGAGCAATATGTGAGAATAAGGAAATAGAATAGGGATGACGACTGGGTAAAAAAAATGCAATTCTATTTAGTCCGTCAGTCAGATAATAGAAAAATATTAGATACATATTTTTTTTTACTTCAATTTAACAAGAAATAGCTTAGATAACAGGCATTAAAGTTGAGGAGTGGGGGCTAGCTACGTCACAGTTTAGTAGAAAACGTACCATAACGTGACGTCATGCGAAATTTCAACTCCATGTAACACCGTAATTTTATGATTACGAAAAAAATAAAAAAATATGTGTTTAATATTTTTTAACACTCTACCTGACGGACAAGCAAACAAAAATTAGTCGTCATCCCTATTCTGTACAAAGTTTAGATCAAACAACTGCTCATGGTTATAAATGTAAATTCTGTGATTGGTAGTGAGTGCTTCATGGCAGGTCTGACTTGCACAGATAGAGATATGGGTGACACATATAATCCAACATAGGATACCATTAATGATAAATATTATTTTTTATTAAAATCAAAAGAAATTGATTGAACACACAAATGATTTAAAGAGAAGTCTCAGAGGAGCAAGTGCTTCTAAACATGCAAAAACACTAAGCTACAGTTTGCATATTTACATCAAGTAAGCATGCATTCTTGAAATGTTACATAGAATCTTTGTGATGATGCAAATGGAACAACCAAACAATGTTCGAAAATTGTTTACACTAAAAGAATTTAATAGACTGAGGCTAGATATGGCACTGGCTCATTTAATAAATCAGTCTTTACATAAACACAATAGTCCAAATTCGATTTCCAGGGTCGATTCCTGGTTAAATCAATCTAGATAATTAACTTTTCTTTATTATCTCTAGTCTGGATCTAGTGGTACCCTTTTTGTTTCAGGTTTCCTTAATGCAAATGCTAATAGCTACTGAAGCAATACATGTTATGTTGTATAATACATATATTTTTAAATGACTGAATAAATCCAGATAAAACTATGTACACATAGCATATCTCTACATTCAGCAAAAGATATAAATAACAGTAACGGGACTGAAAGGGAAATACTACTTTAATATCCCACGTATTGAGGTTACTGTTCTATAGAAAACTATTAGTATTAAGGAACATTTAATGCTACTTACTCAGCAGACTCTATTTCTATCGACATAGTTGTAACTTAGGTAAAAACACACGGTGAAAGATGTTTCTCCCTTAGAATATTATACACTACAAGGAAATACGTTTCCTTATATTGGTCAAAAACTACTCTCTGGTATATACTGAACAGGTTACAGACCGACAGACCCACTGACTGAATGTTATTATATTAACAGTTTTCTGTTTTTAGGTTATCAACAAAGAGTAGTGTTATCAATATCTATTTACTACTTATTTCAAAGAGTACATTTTTTTTATAGAATACATCGTAGACATGTCGATATGATATCGATTATGTAGAGTAAAATAATTGATTTTCAGATCGATTTGGAATGCTACATCGATTCTTGAAACGATTCAAGTACCCCTCGAATCGGGCCGATTCAATTCAATTCAAGATCTAGCAATATAAAATTCCTAAATTGGATACTATATTTTTAGTTTCTTAATATGTTGCTGTTGTTAATTTGAACGCATAAAATAAATATTTATGAACCCGTTCGTATGTCAGTATAGTATAGTTGTAACTACTGTCACTGTTACTCCAGCTCGTGGAATCACCCTTACAGCCTATTACAACAAACTGCCTGAGTGGTCTCCTACATTACTTGTATTAACGATAAATTATCACCAATAATGCTCTCATCAATAATCTCTCAATAAATCTCTTAATGTTGTTAATAGATTATTTATAAGATTATAAAACTAAAATCAGCTATTATAATCGATTTTTACTTTTATAATATTGATTAAAATCCGATTATTTGTATAAACGATTATTATTTCATATCCCTAATGGATATAGAAATTTTTCTTTGGCTGTATGGATACTTCCAAAGGCATAAAACTATTAATAAAAAAAATTGAGATTTTCGCGCGGGAACCTTGAATACGTTTAGGCGCCTTTTCTTATTTGCGAATTTTTATTTTGTATATTTTTGTAATATAGTGTGTAAATACTAGCCTGTTTATACAAATAGAGAGTTGTACATATTATAAATATGGGGAAGGCGAAAAAACGTCGTAAACCGGAAAATCCTCCTGATGATAAAAACGTTTCATCGTCTTCATTGTCGTCTTCGTCCGATACAGAAGATGATGATATTATAGGAAAAAAATATGATATCTTCAAAGTCCCCGGATATAGCCGGAAATATTTGGAAGATTCAAAAAAATCTGAATTTATTGTTTTCTTGTCCCGAAAAGATGGACTTAACTTCAATGATAAAGACCGACTTGCATTATCTAATGCTCTAAGGAAAAATTGCGTCTCGGGTGTCCTACACCTAAAAGCAATAAATAAATTCAAAATTGGTATCACATTTGATGTATCCAACAACGCAAATGTTTTTTTACAAAATAAAAAATTACTAGACGAACTAAACTTTAACGCTGCAATTCCAGCAGCCGATACAGAAGTTACAGGGGTGTTAAGATCTGTTCCTACTGACTTATCTAATAAAAAAATTTTTTCGTTAATAGGCAGCTCCCGAAATGTCATTCAAGTGAGGCGATTTATGCGACGTGTACGAGGTGATGATGGCTCGGTGCGGTTTCTTCCTACGCAGACCGTAGCTGTTACATTTGCCTCCACTCAACTTCCAGAATTTGTATACTTAGATTCTTGGCGTCACGAGGTCAGTCAGTTCATTCCTCCTGTTAAGCAGTGTCTACGCTGCTTGAAATATGGACATATAGCCAAATTTTGTAAGAATGCCGAAATCTGTTCTATATGCACTGGTAACCACAACTACAAAGCTTGCAACGTTAAATCTGATAACGCTAAGTGTGTCAATTGTAGTGGGAATCATATCGCCATTTCAAATAATTGCCCCATTAAAAAACAAAAAATCGAAGAAAATAAAATCAAGGCTCACTCTGTAAAATATTCAGATGTTTTAAGGGAGCAAGCATTTCCACAATTACACGCAAAAAACATAGATACCCAACTTCAAAACTTAGTGAAATCAGACAAATTTATGAATATGATAACTGAAATTGTCACAAATATTATTATTACTAATAAGGACCAAAATGTGCCTATTAACTCCAGTTTTATTCGAGATGTATTTAATAAAACTTTAAGCAAAAAAGCTACCTTAACTCAATAATGGTTAATACCTTAAATATAGTTCATTGGAATGCCCAGAGCCTAGGTTGCAATAGGCTTGCCCTATCACAATTTTTATTTGAACAAAATATTCATGTAGCTTTAATATCAGAAACATGGCTAAGGCCAGAACAATCATTTAATATGAAATACTACAACATTGAACGTAATGATTCTGGTAACAAACATAATGGTGTTGCTATTCTTATCCATAAAAGCTTAACATATAACAAAATAACTACATATTATGACAATTCTTTACAAAATATATGCATACGTTTAACTGTAAATAATAGAGAACTTAGTTTAGTAAGCTTTTATTCTCCACTCCAATGTACTCCTAGGTTCGATAAAAATAAGTTTGAAACTTTAATTAAATCTATTCCACAGCCTATGATTTTTGGTGGCGATTTTAACGCTCACCATACTTCATGGGGATGTGGTTCGGACTCGATTCGTGGCAGAGAGGTCTTAGAAGTGATTGACAATAACAATCTTGTTTTGTTGAATGATGGTCAGGTTACAACAGTTGGTTCTATGTCTTGGCGTCCGAATGCTCTGGATCTATCTATAGTTTCTCCGTCGTTAGCTCTTTCATGTGATTGGTCTGTACACGATGATCCTCTTGGCAGTTATCATCTCCCTGTAATTATCAAAGTTCTTGTTAGAAAAAAAGGCAACAAAAGTTCTGATTCACATAATAATAGTATACATTTGCCCATCCACCCTAATTTTAAGATGGTTGATTGGAAAATGTATACCCAAAATGTAGAGTCCCTTTTAACAGACTGCAAATTAGAGAATTATACACCAATTGAAGCTTACTCTGCATTTTGTAAAATAATTAATTTAGCTATAGTAAGGTCGCTTCCACTTAGCAATTCTGCATCTATCAAAAATAGTAACAATACTAGGAAATCACGAGCTTTGCCCTGGTGGAACAAAAAATGTTTAGAAGCAGTTCAGAAATCCAAATTGTCGTATGTTAATTTTAAAAATAATCCTTCTGCTGAAACATATATAGAGTTCAAAAGATTACAAGCTTTAAAAAAACTTACCTTGAAAACTGAGAGAAACAATAGTTGGATTGATTTGTGTAATTCTTTTAATCGTTGTACCCCCTTGTCTCGAATTTGGAAATTAATGCGTAAATTTAACAAAACATATTCTTTCAGTAATAATAATAATGATGATTGGATTCCAGAATTTTTACAGAAATATACCCCAGATTATGTACATAATTCACCTAGTTTTCCCATAGTTGATCATTCAAATACTTCATATAACTATTTAATTAAACCCTTTTCTTTTCAAGAGTTGTTGTCTGCAATTCATTCTAGAAGGAATACAGCAACTGGTCTGGATGGCATTCCTTATTCCATGCTCAAAAAGCTCAGTGATAATAGCCTCCAAATCTTCTTATCCATTTTAAATAGTTTGTGGAGAAATAATGATATACCCGATCCATGGAAGTCTGATTGTATAGTACCCATTTTGAAACCAGATAAGCCCAAATTGAATCCAAACTCATATCGTCCAATCACTCTTACATCTTGTGTTGGAAAAATCTTTGAACAGTTGTTAAAACAACGACTTGAGTTTTTTGTGGAACAAAATCACATTCTACCTGCAAATCAATTTGGATTTAGAAGAGGAATGTCTGCTCGTGAAAGTATTTGCCAACTTCATCTTGATATTCAGAATAGTTTAGTTAATAAGAATTTCTTGGTATCTGTATTTTTCGATGTTTCTGGTGCCTTTAATAATATAAATATTCATGTGCTTTGTTCTGAATTGGCTTGTTTAGGAATTCCAAGTAAAATAATTCAATGGATTTATAAATTTTTGACAGAAAGGGAAGTGTATGTCAAATATAATAATAATTTATATGGTCCTAGACGTGCATCCATTGGAGTTTGTCAAGGAGGAATTCTGTCTCCCTTATTGTTTATTCTGTATATAAGACGTCTTAATTTAGTACTAGGTTCTCATGTTAAAAATTTACAGTTTGCTGATGATCTTGTAGTTTATGCATCTGGAAAAAAATTAACAGAAATTACCAACATTGTAAATAAATCTTTAGAAGGTCTTTATAATTATTTTTCTTATTTAAATCTTGATATCAATGCCCACAAATCAAACTTAGTTATATTTGGAAAAATTCATAGCTCAGCCTCCATTGTATATTATAACAAAATCCCTATCCCCATTTCTTGTGAAGCAAAGTTTTTAGGAATATCATTTACTTACAATGTGTCATGGAACAAATATGTTGAAATTATAAGTTCAAAGGCTAACAAAGCATTTAATGTTTTAAAATCATTATGCAGATCATCCTGGGGAGCTGATCCCAAAATATTATTAATACTTTATAAGTCTCTCATTCGCAGTCATTTTGAATATGGGTTTCTCTGTTTTTCTGGTGATAATAGACTGGTGGATAAACTAGAAAAAATCCAAAATAAAAGTATGAGAATTATAACAGGAGCATTTAAAAGCACACCTATAAATTCATTACAGGTTGAATGTGGATTACCTCCATTAAATATAAGATTTTCCTACTTGAAAGAAAAGTTTATTTTAAAACTTTACACAAAAAAAAATAATCACCTTTTTTTAAACTTGGTCAATTCACATATTTCAACAGAGAATCTTTACATTCTTCAGAATTTTTCCCAATTTTTAAATTATATTAATGGCTTGCAAATACACCAGTCAGAATTGCTACCTTGTTATCAGGGACAATTTGAGAGTAAATTCCCAGCAATAAATATTTTCATTGATCATAAATTATCTTGTAAGCAAGATGTTTATAATAAATTTTCTGAGTTTTCTGGTCATCGGTTCTTATATACAGATGGTTCAAAAACAGAATCAGCAGTCTCTTTTGCAATTTTTGATGAGCAATTGAAGTTAGGTACAGGTTACAAAATTAATTCCAACACAAGCATATTTACAGCCGAGGCTCTGGCTATTCTTGCAGGTCTAAAACATATTAAATATAAAAATAATGGATGTCATAAGTGGGTAATAGTTAGTGACAGCATGAGTGTTTTAGAAAATCTTAAAAACAATAAGTTCAATGCTAACACAAACTATCTTATATTTTCGATTAAACAACTTTGGTTAGACTTGAACATTATGGATAATATTCAAGTATCATTTGTTTGGGTTCCTTCACACATTGGTGTGGTAGGAAATGAAAAAGTTGACTTTTTGGCAAGGTTTATAACCAATTCTTCAATAATCCCTGATTCCAGCAATAGCCTTAATATAACTGTTCCAAATAATGACATAATTTTTCTTTTAAAAAATAGATCCACTAATTCGTGGAAAAAACATTGGAATTTTAAAGTCCAAATAGAAAACAAAGGTTTATGGTATGCTTCTTTTAACGTTCCTGTAAATTCTACACCTTGGTTCTGCAAAAGTAACACTTACTTTAACAGGAAATTTTATACAACTATCCTGAGGCTTCGTTTCGGTCACTGTAGTCTAAAATACCATCTTTATCGTCTAAATATAGTACAAAGTCCCTTTTGCGATCGTTGTGACACTCAAACAGAGCAGTCTTTGGACCACATATTCTTTGAATGCCCATCCTTTGGCATTCAGCGCCTTGTGCTAATGGATGAGCTGATTGAGATTTATAAAAGTCCGGAACGGGTACCGCGCTCTACTTCAAATCTGCTCGTAAATACCTCCACATTTCTACCTTTGTTTAAATTTGTAGATAGCACAATTGGGCAAATATAGGTGTACATAGCTTAGGATAATTTTTACGTGTCTTTGTTGTATTTAGTCACTTTTTTCTTCTTTTTTATCCTATTTCGATTTTTTTGAGAATGAAGTCTCGAATGCATAGGTATTATTTGGTTGATGTCAATATGAAACGGGAAGTAACTTTTGTTTGTTGATGTTGTAAGTCAAAGAATAATTCAATGGGTCTTTGAAATTTTTTGAAACGTATTTTTATTGTAATTTTGTTTTTATACTGAAGAAGTTTAATATCATTTTTATAAACTGAAGACTTAACGTCATTTTTCAATACTAAGAAATACAATTCAACCAATGACGAGGCAGTATGGTCTATGATCTTAGCCTGTTCCGGAAGGAACGAATAATTGAAAAAAAAAAAAAAAAAAAAAAAAAAAATTGAAGTTACAAAAAGCAATGGCAAAGTGTGTTTTGAGAATGTAAAATAAATTTATTTATAATTTAGATTAAGAGAATCCAATGGATAGATACCCAAATGTTGAGAAAATTGGCGAAGGAACGTACGGTGTAGTTTACAAAGCAAAAGATATTGAAACTGGAAAAGAAATAGCATTAAAGAAGATTAAACTTGAGAAGTAAGTTTTGGCGCGAAAATATTGACGTTTAGAGTTAACTTTTGTGTAGTGTTTTGGACATATCACAGTTAAACATACACTATGAGCTTCTGATTTTTTATCGAACCAAATTGTAAAATAGTAAAATTGAAATAACATTTCATCATCATCATCATCTGCCCTTTTACGTCCCTACTGCAGGGGTTCAGACCTTCCTTATGGATGGTTAAGGAGGATAGGCCATGACCCTCCACGCTGGCCCAATGCGGATTAGAGGGGTATTAACGACTGCAAATGCAACCAGGACCAATGGCTTAACGTGCCTTCCGAAGCAAAAGTAGCTCAAGATTATAATTTTTTGGTCACTCATCCCATGACCGACCCTTGCGAAAGTTGATTAACAACAACGATCGCGGGCCGCGGCGCTTATCCTCTACGCCACCAAGCTGCCTATTAACATTTCACCTCTATTAAATTTATAACTGTCACCTACCAAAACATCCTGAATGGGTAGCAGGTTAAAGCTTTTGGGCTATTCAAAAGTGGTTTTAATAAACTATTTTTCCAATGAAATTTTACTTAGAAATCTATCTAAGCCCATTAACTAGAGTGTAAAATTCTAATCACATTGAACAGGAAAAATATATAAAATTTAATTTTATTATTTGCAGTGAACCAGAAGGAGTGCCATCGACGGCACTACGCGAAATCTCTGTGCTGCGTGAACTACGGCATCCGGCTGTGGTGGAACTGCTAGATGTACTGCTCACAGAAAATAAACTTTTCCTTGTGTTTGAATTCCTGCACATGGACCTCAAGAGGCTAATGGACATCTACAAAGGGCCTTTGCCGCATGATCTTGTCAAGGTAGAATTTTTATATTTTTAGAAAAATTGATACACTAATAGATATATTCATCTAAAATAATTGTACAATTTCACTAAGTAATAAACTTATAGGCCTAAATGACAACGCTTCATGTTCAGACTTTCCTGCTTTGTGTATTATCACCACTTCTGATACTTTCCAGAGTGTTGGTAAGTGGGATGTTCTTAAGATGGCATTAAATAAACTAGTAAGGAGATTGAAAGCGTTTTTGGGTTGATGTTTAAGTATCATTGGTATTACAAGATGAAAACCTGCTGCTTTTTTAGCCTCAAGGTTTCTTATTTGTCGTGCTATCTCTCTCGGCGATGCTGGCTTGATTGGCAGGTGCTTTCTTCTGAGTCATTTTTCTCCGTGATCTATTACTCTATGTCAGATGAACAAGTAGTTATTTACGAGTTCAAATTTATCTGAGATGTATTGGCCCAAGTAGCCACTTGAATGAGGTTTGTTATGTATTTACATGCCTTTTCAACCTCATCTGTGTCTTTTAGCAATACCAAACAGATTGGAAAGCTATCTTGATGAGAACAAGATTCATGTTTTTGTCAAAATAGTTCTTAAATTGTTTGGTGGTAAGAAATTGTGGCTTCTCTCGAAAGATCACATTTGTACTTAGTGTTAGAATTGCCTGTGTGCATTGCATTTGAAATAATTCTCTGTATTTGTGTGCGAGCTACCCATAACCGTGGGTCAATAAGAATTCCAATATGTCAGGCAATTTTCTAGGATTGCTAAGCCAATATGTTGGTCCACCTGTTGAAATTATTTTTAGGCGCTTATTATCAGCGTCGCGTTTGAGTTCGCGCCCTCTTGTAGTCACAATACGGGAGCCCCAAAAAATGGTGCTTTGCCTTCCAGTCTCCGCCGACTATGAATCTGGGACCCAAGGTTTGGAAATAGGCTGCAAACATGTCAGCAGTAATTTAGACCTTAGGGACAGGAAATAGAGGAATGTTGTCGCACTGTAGTGGTTTGAAAATGCATCGTCGACAAAGATTCAAATGGTGTGTGCTTCAGATGCACTTTTAGAATTATAGTGGATCCAGCATGAGCGCCACCATCAGGATGTGGAGTAAAGTAAATAATGAATCCTTTGAGACGGAATGAACTTCTCACTGTGGTATGTGCTTCAGATACTAAAACCATATCAAGATTGTTTAGAATCTCAAGTTCATTAATGTTAGGTGATAGTTCAATAATATTCCACGTTGTAGTTATCTATGTGAGCTCAATTTTCTCATTCTGTTTTGTTAAGAGATGTTCAAAAATCTTAGATTGATCTTCTTCTTCTTTCTTCAACGGGCGTCTCCGCAACTCGACGACTAATTTGCGCCTATTTTGCTTGTGGAGGGTGTGTGGCCGGATACTACTCCAGCCAGCCCAGCTCTGCCAGGAACGCCCCCAGCGCCTTCACATCTGGAGACGTTCGACGGCCTCTTGGAGGTTGCCCGGCGAGCCGAGGTGCTTTGCCCGGTAGTTGGCCACTCTGTTGCATTCCAGCAGGACGTGAGTGGCTGTTTCTTCCGCCTCCATGCATCCTCTGCACAAGGGGCTGTCAGTGACACCTAGATTGAAAAGCTGCCTATTAAAGTTGCCATGACCAGTAATAGCATCCGTTACCAGGCGCAGATATGGTTTACTTAGCTGTAGGAGGGCTTTGGAGAGGCGAGCGTTCACTCGGGGTAGGGCAAGTTTGGCCTGCCTGCAGTTTTCCAAAGGGTGCCAGTACTGTTGATGCAGTTTACTCGAGTGTTCACGTATCCTACCAATTAACCAGCTTACCGGAATATGAATGATCGGTTCCGGTCCCTTTGGTGTTGCATCAGATCCTCTGCGTGCCAGTTCATCAGCTGCATTATTTCCACGTGATCCACTGTGTCCCTTTATCTATTGGATAGTAATTGTATTGTGTGTCCCTACCATGTTTAGAACCTGTTGACACTCCTGTAGAAGACTCGATCGGACAGAACTTCCTTTGAGAGCCTGTAGGACTGATTTACTGTCCGAGAAGATGCGGATTTCTGATCCTGTTACCTTCCTCGTAGTTATCGCTCTCGCCGCCAGGGTGATCGCCATACATTCAGCCTGGAAGACTGTATTGTATGGGCTAAGGGGCAGGAACAGATGTACGTTGAGGTCCTCAGAGAATACACCAGCTCCTGTGCCTGTTGAGGTTTTGGAGCCGTCCGTGAAAAATTGTGAGAGCCTTGTGTGTTACCTTTGGATTGTCACTATCCGTAAGATGTATCTTGTATTTCTTGTCAAAGATGAAGGTGGATTCGATTCTGTCGCACACCGCCTCAACAAGCGGGGTTAAGCCATTCCTTCAGTAAGCCATTGAGATGTTTAGCGGTATCGAACCTTACCAGTTTATGATTTTTTAGTCTCAACGCTGTCTTGGCCGCTTCCTGTCTAATATAAATTTGTAGCGGTGTAATATTCAACATTACCTCCAGAACTGCCGTGGGCGCCGTGCTCATGCATCCCGTCAGGGCGCAGCACGCCTGCCGTTGGAAGCTTTGCAGTTTGTTTTCACAGGAGGACTGAGTAGTTTTTGGCCACCGGCCACCACACAGTTAGATTGATAAGTAGAGTCACCTTTTTGTTCCTCATTGTTTCTAGTTTTCTGTTTTCTGGGCCGACCTGAGGTAACTTCAGCGTAGGTGTGTTGGTTTTTAGATTTTAACAAAGTCGTGGAAGGGTTTGAATTGTTACTGTCGTATTTTGTTTGTTCAGTATTAAGTATATTTCTGATTACAAACGCATTAACCTTTGTAGTTTGCGAGATGATCACTGGAGCAGAGGGTGCATTTAGCTGGAGTGTCTCTGTCTTTCATTAATAATTATATGTCATACTTGCTTTTTGCTAGCGGGTTCGCCCGCGTGATCTCGTATTATACATAAAAACTTTCCTTTTGTATCACCCTATCTATGAAAAAAAGCCGCATCAAAATCCGTTGCGTGGTTTTGAAGATTTGAGCATACATAGGGATATAGGGACAGAAAAAGCGACTTTGTTTTATACAATGTAGTGATGACTAAAATTACCATGACACGACCGTAATGAAGCTGGAGGTAAACGATCGTTTGTGCAGAGTTACCTAGCACAGCTGTTGGACGGTATCGCTTACTGCCACTCGATGCGGGTGCTTCACCGCGACCTGAAGCCGCAGAACCTGCTGGTGGACGCGGAGGGGCGCGTGAAGCTCGCGGACTTCGGTCTGGCGCGCGCGTTCGGCATCCCGGTGCGCGCGTACACGCACGAGGTGGTCACGCTCTGGTACCGCGCGCCCGAGATCCTGCTCGGGTCCAAGTTCTACTCTACCGCCGTCGACGTCTGGAGTCTCGCTTGCATATACGCCGAGATGGTGAGTTGCGCTCCACTACACTATTTATTGATTCCTATTATAATAAAAAAAATTCAGGGATATAAAGTGCAATTATTCGTTTTTATATAAAGTGCAATGTTATAATCCATTATAACATTGCATAATTTTTTAGGGCTTTAAAGATAGTCTATCGGAATATAAATGCTACACGTGTATGACCAACCGTTCTAACTATGGCCACAAACATTTAGTTTAGTGTAGATATCACACCCAACTGGTTAAATCAGCCATACTATTGGCCGGCTAGACTTTTAATTAAATGGCGCCATTCAATTGCACGACTACTTTTTTAGTTGATACATTATGCTTATTAGACCATTCAACAAGACAGCTGATTTAAGAGCCGTCAAAACATTCATTTAGTAAATTACTTCATCAACATGGCGCTAGCTTCGCTTAGTTTCCAAACGTTTATTTAAACAGTGTTGCCAGAATGTTACTTTTTCATGATACATTATGTTACTTTTGATCCTCTCATTTAACTTCTATGTTACGAGACTCGAAATGTTACTTTGACATTTACACTCAAAATCTATATTTTTTAGAATTTCAAGTCAATTATTTGATCCGGGATTGAGTATTACGGGTGTTTTCCGCGTGTAATATTACTTGTTGAACAGTCTTGTGTTACATTAGACTATCTGCCACAAGCAACACTGAATGTATCGTCCAGTAAAGGATATTATACTGTTGATGAATATTGAAACGACGAAACTGCTCGGTGTTAAATATGGCTTATTTTTATGTATATTAAATTATTAATCGATGAGCTTGTTTGACTGCACATGTGATTCGATTGACGTAAATACTGTTTTACGTTTATATTTTCTAATATTCTAATGGAAATTGACTTTCACAAGTGCTTGTAATAGCCTACAGTGAATAAATAATTTTGATGATTATTTTTTTTTTATTGGGCGGCCGATTTAACCGGGGAGAGGCGACGTGGACGTTCCCAATATTTATTTACATATTTATTTCAGTTACACGTAACAGAGTAGATAAGAGTAGATTCAAAATTATGATTGAAAATTTCATTAAACAAATAAATTATCGTAATTATAATTCAAATTAATATCGTCATAATCCATAAAACTTAGAGACCGCCCACCCTCTCTGTACCCTTATTTCGCGCGAGCTTAATATTAAATCTATCCGGATGTCATCGATGACATAAGTTTCGTCTATGATTTTTAGTAAATTATTATTTAGCCTACGTACACGGTCCGACCGGGGCATAATTTCGGTCAATCCTGACGACGCACAGAGGCCGCACGAGGCTAGAGACGAATTCGGGGGTTCGTTCCAGGCGAGCGGGCGCACGCTGTTCCCGGGCGACAGCGAGATAGACCAGCTGTTCCGCGTGTTCCGCGCGCTCGGCACGCCGGGCGCGGGCGTGTGGGCGGGCGCGCGGCGGCTGCCCGACTACCGCGCCTCGTTCCCGCGCTGGGCGCCGCGGCCCGCGCACGCGCTGCTGCCCGACCCGCTGCGGGCCGACCCGCACGCGCGCGCGCTCTTCGACGCCATGCTGCAGTACGAGCCCAGCGAGCGCGTGCCCGCGCGGGCCGCCCGCCGCCACGCCTACCTGCGCGACGCGCACCTCGTGCGGCCCCGCGTCGAGCGCGCCTGACGCCGCCCGCCGCCACGCCTACCTATACCCCGTGCGGCCCCGCGTCGAGCGCGCCTGACGCCGCCCGCCGCCACGCCTACCTATACCCCGTGCGGCCCCGCGTCGAGCGCGCCTGACGCCGCCCGCCGCCACGCCTACCTATACCCCGTGCGGCCCCGCGTCGAGCGCGCCTGACGCCGCCCGCCGCCACGCCTACCTATACCCCGTGCGGCCCCGCGTCGAGCGCGCCTGACGCCGCCCGCCGCCACGCCTACCTATACCCCGTGCGGCCCCGCGTCGAGCGCGCCTGACGCCGCCCGCCGCCACGCCTACCTATACCCCGTGCGGCCCCGCGTCGAGCGCGCCTGACGCCGCCCGCCGCCACGCCTACCTATACCCCGTGCGGCCCCGCGTCGAGCGCGCCTGACGCCGCCCGCCGCCACGCCTACCTATACCCCGTGCGGCCCCGCGTCGAGCGCGCCTGACGCCGCCCGCCGCCACGCCTACCTATACCCCGTGCGGCCCCGCGTCGAGCGCGCCTGACGCCGCCCGCCGCCACGCCTACCTATACCCCGTGCGGCCCCGCGTCGAGCGCGCCTGACGCCGCCCGCCGCCACGCCTACCTATACCCCGTGCGGCCCCGCGTCGAGCGCGCCTGACGCCGCCCGCCGCCACGCCTACCTATACCCCGTGCGGCCCCGCGTCGAGCGCGCCTGACGCCGCCCGCCGCCACGCCTACCTATACCCCGTGCGGCCCCGCGTCGAGCGCGCCTGACGCCGCCCGCCGCCACGCCTACCTATACCCCGTGCGGCCCCGCGTCGAGCGCGCCTGACGCCGCCCGCCGCCACGCCTACCTATACCCCGTGCGGCCCCGCGTCGAGCGCGCCTGACGCCGCCCGCCGCCACGCCTACCTATACCCCGTGCGGCCCCGCGTCGAGCGCGCCTGACGCCGCCCGCCGCCACGCCTACCTATACCCCGTGCGGCCCCGCGTCGAGCGCGCCTGACGCCGCCCGCCGCCACGCCTACCTATACCCCGTGCGGCCCCGCGTCGAGCGCGCCTGACGCCGCCCGCCGCCACGCCTACCTATACCCCGTGCGGCCCCGCGTCGAGCGCGCCTGACGCCGCCCGCCGCCACGCCTACCTATACCCCGTGCGGCCCCGCGTCGAGCGCGCCTGACGCCGCCCGCCGCCACGCCTACCTATACCCCGTGCGGCCCCGCGTCGAGCGCGCCTGACGCCGCCCGCCGCCTTAACCGCAACTGTTATAGCTAAATCTGTCTCATTGGAATCTGCGAATAAATACTTATTTCGATACGTAAGCCATATTTTTAATTATTTTAATGAGAATTGAAATTTGGTGTACGGCGGCCCCTATTGGGGGTGAGATTTGAAATCTATCCTAATATTATAAAGAGGAAAGATTTTTAAAACTTAAAACCCATTTTAAAACTACAGTTCACATGACTTGGAATAATCCTTTAGTTATTATGCGTTTGAAGTTGCGGGAAAACAGTCAATATAAAATATATCACAAACTTTATTCTGTGACATCACTTAAATCTCTATCAAACTTAGATCATAGCTCACATAATTGCTATCCTATTTTAGCGCTAGCATGTTATGTGAGCAATCGCTTTAATATTGTGTCACAATACCACCACAATCAAAGAATATACATCCTGTATGAATCCTATTAATATTATAAATGTGAAAGTTTCTTTGATTGGCTGTTTGTCCATCAATTACGAAAAAACTACTGAACGGATTTTGATGAAATTTGGTATACGGATAGGGTATCATAATAGGATACTTTTTATCCAAACAATTCACTAGAGACCACGCGGGCGTAGTCGCTGGCGAAAGCTAGTATAACATAATTGTACCTAGGTATAATAAAAAAAAATTCTATGTTGTGATTTTTAGTGCAAATAAAACATTGTACTAGCACAGAGCATACTGGCCACCGCAGTAAAATTTTATTTTTATTCGTTTTCCTCTCTATATCTACAATCAGGCTTTAATAATGTTTTATTTACACTGAAAACCATAATGTACTCAATTTTTATTATGTATATGTACATCCATATAAATTTTATTAGTATAGCAATTATGCCCATTGAGTGTGGTCATATTGCAACAGTATCACACATCGATCATGCATGATGATTGATGACACAAGATTTCTTTTTTATTTATTTATTCATCCATCCGCAATCAGCCCAGCAGCTAGAGTTTGGCAAGCGAAACGTGACACCACCTATTTTTCCGTTTTCATATGGCAACAACATAGAACTGTCAGTTTGACACTACGTTAGACAATTCAAGAATATTGAATTTTGTTGTTTTTGCGAATTTGAACTTGTGTTTTTGGTTAAAAATTATGTCGAAGCCGATAAAAAGTTCATCGAGGAAACTTCTTTCCATCATGATTGACAAGTTTACTGAAGTGAAAACTGAATTAAATAAAAATTTCATGGAGAAATTACAACGATTAGATAAAGTTGTATCTTTTTTAGGTTAGTTTTGTATTATAATTTTGATACTTTCGTTTTAATTTTCTGTAATTAACTAAACAGATATTTTTTATAAAATATTGCTCTATTTCAGATAACTGTGATGGTGATATTCAACCAATAATGGAGGAGATAAATGCAATAAAAACTTTAGAAAAACAAGAAATGCTGAATTCGGAAACGCAGTACTTACAAAAAATTTCTTCAATGACAGGTCTCTTTTCTTGTTTTGATTTAAGATAGATTGATAGTATTCCTATAATATTTACATAGGTTTTTTATGATGTATTGGTTTTTATTGTTGACATCCAATGATGTCATAAGAATGTTTTGTTTAACAAGGAAATTCACAGAATTCATGAAACTAATCAAACCATGTAATTGTTATACATGCTAAATATGCACATAAACTTAACTAAATTAAACATAAATTGCATTCATAGTTGAATAGGTATTTAAATTATTTTGATGTATGTGTCTATCATTATTTGCTTTTAAATACATTTAACATATCTTTGTTTCAAAGTGTTTAATCTTTTATAGATGTAAGTATAAGGACACTAAGAAGGATAAAAAATGAAGCATTAATTAATAAAGGAAAATGGGACACTCCTGGGAAAAAACGACCTCATCAACCAACAGTGTCTGCTTTAGATAATTTTGATTTAAGTGCAATTCGGAATAAAGTAAATGAATTTTACTGTGTGAAAAAAATTGTTCCAACATTAAGAAGCCTTCACAATGAATTAAAAGATGCAATAGGATTCAGTGGTAGCCGTGAGACTTTACGAAAAATTATGCTTAAGAATGGATTTTCTTTTAAAAGCAATGAAAATGAACGTTCTATGCTTATAGAAAAATACCAGATTTCTGCATGGAGGCACAAGTATTTGAGAGAAATAAATATAAAACGAAACGAAGGAAAGCAAATTGTGTACCTTGATGAAACTTATGTACATCAGAATTATAAAGTTAAAAAGTCTTGGCAAGGACCTTCAACAACTGGTGTCACTACAAAGATATCCTCTGGAAAACGGCATATTGTTGTGCATGCTGGATCTGAGGAAGGTTTTGTGCCTGGTGCATTATTAGTGTTCAGTAGTAAATCCAAATCTGCTGATTATCATGATGATATGAACTCATCGAACTTTATGAAATGGGTCAGAGAAAAATTAATACCAAATTTAAGTAAGCCCAGTGTAATTGTTATGGATAATGCCAGCTACCATATAAAACAAATCAATAAACCGCCTATAATGTCTAATACCAAAGCAGATATCCGTAAATGGCTTGTAAATAATGGAATACATTTTGAGGAATATCAGACAAAGGCAGAGTTAATGTGTTTGGTTAATGATAAGAAAACATTGCCTGTATATGAAGCTGAAGAGATTTTAAAAGAACATAATCATGAACTTTTATTGCTGCCACCGTATCATTGTGACTTAAACCCAATAGAGATGGTTTGGAGTCAAGCAAAAAGAAAAATTGCAAGCAGAAACATTGGAATACCAGGAAAGGAAATGGAAAACTTAATAATAGAGTGTTTTAACTTAATTACCCCTAGTGACTGGAAGAAATACACTGATCATGTTTTAAATGTCGAAAATGATTACAAATTAAAAGATGGCATTGTTGAAAACGAACTTGAAAAATTTATTATATCTGTTGGTGCAGACAGTAGTGAAGAGAGTGACTCTGATGATTCCTTGTCATTGTTATCAGGTGTAGAATATTTAGAAACAGATTTTGACTATGAATCAGACTAAAGTATTTTTAGTCTGATTCATAGTCAAAATCTTATCTTAAATTTTCTATTGTGATTAACATGATGATTTTGTGACACCTGTATTATGTTATTTATCCATGGCACTTAATTGTAACAAAAATAAATGTTTTTTTTATTGTAATCTGGTGTTTATATTGACTAATTTAATTTGATAGATAGTGGTTCTGGATCAGAGCAAAAGGTTGTGATGAAAATCCCTTAGGAGACATGTATGTGTTATGAACACATTATAAATATAAGGGCCAGAAATCAAAATTGGCTAACATCACATTTATTAAAAAAATGTGGCCAGAGTCGCCCATATTCATTACAAAAAAACAAAGAAGTCGTTGCAAAAAACACCCTTTTAATTAATGACAAATATGAATTTTTAATATTATAAGTGCTGTTAGCCAATAGGTATAACGAATGGGTTAAAAAAAAGATTCGATTTAGTCCGTCAGTCAGATAATAGAAAAATATTGGATACGTATTTTTTTTCGCTTTAATTTAACAACAAATGGCTTAAGAGGTACTATGCGACGACTTCAAATATGCTTTGCAACAATGTTACTTTAATACAGTTTATCGATACGAAATCAAGTGTCAAAATGGAGTCCAGTGGAGAATGCCGATATTGACATTTCGAAATTGCTCATCATTGATAGAGAATACGAAATAGTGATTTTGACACAATCAAAGTGTCTATTTTTTACGGTGATGACGATTCTTGGTTGTCAGTTGAGTTAGTGAATAGGCCTACTGATATGCTGTTAA